CATGCTACCCTGAATGTTCCTGATCTTGTCTGATCTCAAAAACTAAGCAGGGGAGGGCCTGGTTAGTACTTGGATGGGAGATCAAAAGGGAACTTCATTGAAGGTCCGGTGTCTTCCTCCTCTTGTAAGTGTAGGTTTATTTTCAAAACCTGCATTAATTTTTTAAAACCAGTTAAAAATGTGTTTAATGTTTATGGTTAATGTTTATGGTTAATGTTTCTGAGATAGCTAGTCCAGTGGTAGCTCATTAGGCCATTCCAGCAGAGCTCTGCTAGGAGACTGTTGAAGCAGTCCACATTTGAGTGATGAATACTTGGATTAGTGGAGTAGCATGAACCATGGAAATAAGCAAAAATAAAATGTGGGGGAAATTTCATGACACCTAGAAGTCAAAAATAAAGGTAAAAGAGATGTCACGATGTTAAGCCTGAGTTGCTAAGGAAACGGGTACAGAAAAAGAAATAAGGAAATTGGAATGCTGTGTCAGTCCACCCGGGCTGCCGTAACAAATACCATAGCCTAAACATAGAAATTTATTTTTTGGTTGTTCTGGAGGCTGTAAGCTTGAGATCAAGGCACTGACCTCTTCCATTTCTGGCGAGGACCCTCTTTTTCACTTGCAGATGGCTACATTTTCTCTCTGACCTCACATGGCATACAGGTCTTTTAAGAATACTAATCCTGTCATCTCAGGGCCCACCCTTATGAGTTCATTTAACTAACTTCCATAAAGGTCTATCTCCAAATACAATCACTCTGAAGCCCAAATACATAGGGTTTCAACACATAGAATTTGAAAGGAAAACAATTCAGTTCCTAGAAAATGAGAACCTAGGTTTTTGTTTTGTTTTGTTTTGTTTTGCTTTTTGAGACAGAGGCTCACTCTGTTGCCCAGGCTGGATTGCAGTGGCACAATCTCAGCTCACTGCAAACTCCACCTCCCAGGGTTCAAGAAATTCTCTGCCTCAGCTTCCCGAGTAGCTGGAATTACAGGCACATAGCACTATGCCCAGCTAATTCTTTCGCATTTTTAATAGAGACAGGGTTTCGCCATCTTGGCCAGGCTGGTCTTGAACTCCTGACCTCGTGATCCACCCACTTTGGCCTCCCAAAATGCTGGAATTACAGGTGTGAGCCACCGTGCCTGGCCTGTTTTTTGTTTTTTTAAAGATTATTATGAATTATTTTGGATTTGAGTATGAGATGAACAATGAACAAGTTGTTGGTGATCGAAGATGGAGCATGGAGAAGAGATTATTGATGATAGACTTACCATCCATCAACAGAGAGCTCAGAGCTTAGGCCATGGGGCTGTGTGAGTTCTTTGAGGAAGAAAGTAGAGATCAATACAGAGGATTAAGGGGCAGGAACCAAGCTGTGTGCAAATTCTCATAGACAGTAAAGGAGGTATAAATCAGCAAATAAGTTGTCAGAGAGAGAGGAAGAGAGCAGAAAAATGAAGCAGCGTCAAGGAAGAAAAGAGGAGTGTGAGGAAGTGGCCAATAGCACTAAATGCAATTACAGAGGTCTTGAAAAAGGCTGTGGTCAAAAGGCCCTGAATTTGTCAATTAGGAAATCATTACTGACCTTTGAGGAAGCAGTCTCCGTGAGGTGACTGGGAAGAGATTCAGGTAAGAGAGGTTAAGGAAAAGCAGGATTAAGGTGATTTGAAAGACATGCCTAGGGTATACATGGGGAGGCAAATCTACAGGGTAATGAATGCAATCATGGACCACTGAAGTGTCCACATCTTTGCCCAGACCAAATTGAATTCAGCCCTGCTTAGATAGCTACTTCTTTCAGATGCCTGGTTTGTTCTTTCGACAAAAAAAAATCATTGTGTTATCAACTCAGCTAAGCAATGTTATATACACTGGAGATTAAATCAACGGTCCCGCCCTCATGCAGCATCTGTGTTTCTTCTGCTCCCTACCAACTTCTGTTCTTGTGTGCATTCAGATTTTTCCTTAGAGCGCTGGTGTTCCCCTGAGCTTGTTCTTAACAGACCCATCTTTCCTACCCTCTGTGAACCTCATCAGAGTATACCATCTGCTCTTTGGGAGCAGGGGAAGAATTGGATGTTTTTTCACTCTTGCTAAAGTTAGAAAATGTTGGAGAGTCAATGAGCTTTTTTCATGAAAACCCCATCTAATCATTTTTTAAATTAAGCACCTAATACAATAATGATATGGCCAATTATCAAATGTGTTGTCTTAACTTTAAGTTTTATTTTATTACAAATATAAGTTCTACATTTAAGCTGAGAGTTTAGTAAGCAGTAAACTCTGATTCGGTTAGGCAGGGACTAATTGTAGGTATTAACATGTTTTAAAAGCTTCCCAGTTGATTTTACTGTGCACCCTGGATTGAGATGCCTTGGATTAGAGATCTGTTGTTTTGTGGTGCTGATTTTGTCAAAGAGCCTGGCTCTGAGGTGGGAACAGTAGTATAATCATCCTTTGGGTTGGACTGGTGTCTGCTCCCTGCCCTTACTTTTGGCTGACTTACTTTGGTGTTCTGCTCAACTCTAGCTTAATAAAATTATTATAAATAATCTTAGCCTCTACGTAGGCTTTTTTAAATCCAGTGCAAGTATAATTTTACAGATGAGAAATGATTATGCCTGCAGTTATCTGCTTCCACATTAGAATATGTTTTTAATTTCTGATGGGTCACTTTTCTTGTTTAATACTCATTTTGATTGGTATTAGGTGATATGGTTTGGTTTCTATTCAATTCCAGAATATCTTCTTAAATTGTTTTAATGTAGAGCAAATGAAAAGTTGATGCTTCTCATCTTGCCTAATACCTCTATTTAGAGCAAGAGGGAGTATCTGTCTTCTTGGATCTTGTATGTGTCTAGCTACATTCTGGATGTTTGATAGAAATAATATCATGCCTTATATTCTCCGCCCTGACACTGGAAACACATAAAGGGAAAAGTATGTGGAATAAAAAGACAGTATAACGAGCTTTATTTTGTAACACTGGAATATGGAACTTATCTGTTGAGGTGATACTAAGTAACATAATAACTTCAAAAACCTGGACCGGGCAGGCAGCTAATTTAGCTACTTGAAAATCACCTGGGGAAAGGAGATTGCTGCTAAGATTACTGAAACCAGCTTAACACCTGCCAACTTACATCACTTTTAAAAAAATCCTAGGAAGGCACAAAAGACAGCCAGCAAAACTGCCCATTACTTTATACTCCTTGGTCTCAGTAGATACAGGAGAGATAATTTGGCCATGGGAGAAAGAAACAATGGAACAGCATATTGGAGAAAATGAGGATTGTGAAAGAGTAATTGGCATTCAGTAGACCCCCAGCAAATAGTGGTTGAATGTATGAACAAAATGAAAGAGAAATTTACTGGAAAATAGATTGGGCTACAGCAGAGACTTACATCTGCAAATTTCCTGTTGCGGTATTGAGTCAAGTATTAAATTATTGGTGTGCTTTTTTAACCCGGACATAATTTCACCACTCATAATAGGGACTGTCAAAGGGGGAAAAAGGAAAGGGAGCTTATCATAAAAAGAGATGTGAGAGTGCTTTCCCCTACGTGCCTGATTCTCCATATCCCATTATAGTTCGTGCATTCTTATAAAGGATGAACTAAAATGCTGAAAGAAGTCTGGCCTTTCGAAATTCATCTGAATGTTGCTTGGGCCACTAAGAGTTCCAGGGTTATCAGAGAATTAACCTACTTAGGCTAATTTAGGAAATCTTCCTATTGTCTTCTACTGGCTTGCCTCTGTTTTTTTTACTTCTACCCCAGTCAACCTTATTTGTAAATAGGGTAAGAGCTACCTAGTGCCTTTGATTAATTGTTGCTTGGATATTTTATTGATGCTATAGAGTCTTCGTTTTACATACTCAGTGGTCAGTCATTAACTTTAAGCCCTGAATGTTGTTCTGATAATTTTATAAACAGCCTTATTGATGTTTCATTTATGAGCATAAAATTCACTTATTTAAAGTGAACAAGAGGCTGGCTGTGTTGGCTCATGCCTCTAATCATGACATTTTGGGAAGCCATGGCAAGAGGATCGCTTGAGCTCAGGAGTTCAAGATGAAACTGGGCAACATAGTGAGACCCTATCTCCACAAAAAAATAAAACAAATGAAAATAGTTGGGCATGGTGGCACATGCCTGTAGTCCCAGCTACTTGGGAGGTTGAGGCAGGGGAATCTCTTGAACCCGGAAGGCAGAGGTTGCAGTGAGCTGAGATTACACCGCTGCACTCCAGCATGGTGACAGAGCGAGACTCTGTCTCAATAAATAAATAGAAAAAAATAAAAATAAAATAAAGTGAATAGCTCAATTAATTTTAGCAGCTTTATATGCTTGTGCAGCAATAATCAATATCCATTTTGTGCATCTTCAGCCCAGGCAACTCCTGATCTACCTTCGGTAGTTATAGTTCTCTGTAGCCCTCTGTAGAAATTTCATTTGGATGGAATTTGAATATCTGAAACTTACATTTAATTTAGAAACTAAGTTCACCTTATCAGAATAGGCAAAGACTAACCAAATTAGATGGATCTTGTATTTCATTATAAACAGCAGCAGAATAAATTAATTAGAAGAATTTTCTTAATAGTTGCCAAGACTTTATGGTATGCTTCATTTGCTTTGCTGAATTGCTACATATTTCCTTTTTGTTAAGTGTCTTGTCCAGTTTTGAGCTATGCATTACATTTTCTCTTTAAGAAAAATGAATTAGTATGCATTTCAACTTCAGGGTTTATTCTAGTCTATGTTATTGTGACTTTTTCAAAAGAATAATTGTTTATGTGTTGTGTGAATGGACAGACACTTAATGAACCTTCAAACATCTGTGGATGGAAGAACAGAGGGAAGATCACATGATGACTTTCATATATTTGGGTCTCAGGAAAGTTGTTTATATCAGAAGTTCTCAGGATGTAGCAAATTAATAAATTGCAGGTATTTGGAATAGAATTTCATTCTTTATGTGTTTTTATTTCACAGAAGAAATGTGAAACATCTTCTAGAAAGAAGTAAAGCATTACAATGGACGAAGTCCTATGTTTTACCAGAGTTTCCCTATGATGTCAAATGCACGTTAGCAGAGCAGAAGTGCCCGGATCACAGCATGAGGATAAGGATCATTGAGTTCCTCCAGGCTGACATGACCAAGTACCTGGAAGGCTCACTGTGCGTGGTAACAGGATGGCCTTGCTGCTTTGGGAAAGGGTCTGTTTCAGAAAAGCGTAGAATTCATGTGGAATCAATTCTCTTCAGATTGTGGTAATAGGTTCCACATTGCCCAATATTTAAATCTCTTTTGTTATATAGAAAAACACTGAAGAAAAGTGAGTGTAATTTAGACTCACCTTAAAGCAAGGAATGTGGGCTGCTTGAAGTGAAACATATCCTCCTTGTTTGGTGAACAGGTACCCCAGCACCCAGCAGTACAATGACGTAGTGAATGCCCTGCTGCAGGCCCACCCTTTCCTGGATGAGGACGGATGTGGCTTTGTAAGTGACCACATGGCACCATCTTGTTAATTTCAGACCATCTTAAAATAATAGCCTTGTATTGCCCAGTAATTTTATGCTTCACTCATCTTTTTCTTGGTGTCTCTCTCATTCTACGTATCTAGGTCCGTTTGTTTCTGTTTTTCTGACTCTTTGTCTCTTTGGTCTCTGATTTTGTTTCTTTCACTTTCTGTTAATTCATGCTTCTTTCTTGACTTTCCGCTCTGTCTCTCACTCTGGCTGTCTCTCTCTGTCTTTGTCTCCTTGTCTTCCCTTTTTCATAACTTCTCAGTCTCTCTCTGCCCTGTGTTCCTTTGTCTTTGTCGCTCTCTGTCATCATATTGCTGTCCTCTCAAAACTGTTTGGAAACTCAGTGTAACAGAGCTGATCAGGAGTTGCCTGGAGCTGAAGGTGGCCAAAATGGATAGTGATTATGGTTGCACAAGCATATAAGGTTGCTAAGATTAACTGAGCTGTTCACTTGTCTCAAGGGTTTTAAGGGCTGGGAAGGGTCCTTAGGAGATGCGACACATAGAAAGAGAAAGATGTGGCTGCGCCTGCTTCAGAACTGTCATCGGGTGTTTCTTGCCTTCTCAGACCCAGTGGAGCTGCTGTCTGGCTTTGAGGTCTGGGCCTCCAGCCTTACCTGGCCCTGTCACATCTCTGCTGTCCTGACAAAGGATGCTCTGGGGCAGCAGTTCTTTTTTGAGCCAGAGTCTCACTTGATCACTGAGGCTGGAGTACAATGGCGTGATCTGGGCTCACTGCAATCTCCACCTCACAGCTTCAAGCAATTCTCTGGGGCAGCGGTTCTAAGCTCTGATTGCACATTAGGATTCCTAGAGATTCTGATTGAATTAATTTGAAGATGGGACCTTGTCATGAATTTTTTTTTAAACTTGCCAAAATTATTCTAATGTACAACCAGGGATGAGATCCACTGCCAATGATGTTTCAACACAAAGTTTGCTGTTTGATGAACCTGCCTATCTCCTGGGTTTCAAAGACCAGTGTCTTCATTGCACAACAGTATGAATATAATTAACACTATTTAACTGTACTTAAAAATAGTTAAGATGGTAATAAAAAGTTGAGTGTTTATGACACCATAACTATATGAGTTAAGGAACAATTACAGGGAACTATAGCTACGGTTATATAAAGATAGACTATTATTCCCTTTGTCTCCATATGCCGTGTGCATACACATTGGTAATCATATCTAAATAAGATAGATGTCTTTTTGTACTTCACTGTCTCAGATGTCTGTGCAAAGATATTTTTTTGCTGTGCTTTCTTAAGGACATGGAATTTCAGCAATTAGTTCTAAGAACAACAAAAGATAATGCCAATATCTATGAATATAAAGACATTTAAAGGCTCTGTTTCCTCCCTCCCTCCCTCCCTCCCTCCCTCCCTCCCTTCCTCCCTCCCTTCCTTCCTTCCCTCTTTGTATTTACACCTCCTGCCCTTCCTTCCTTCCTTTCTTCCTTATTTGTATTTTCAAGAAAAGTTTCATTATATATGGAGAGAATCATAGAATTTTCTCAGTGAGAGAGGTCATTAAGGGTTCTTTTCACCACTCAGATTAAGGAAAGAGGTTGTATACCATGTCTGGAAAAATAGTAATTATTGAAGCCAAGATTAGAATTCAGGCATTCTTACTTCTAGGGTGACAGCCTGTCCAAAATATGCCACTGCATATAAAGTGCACTACAGAAGAAATCAAATTTTCTCCAAAAAGAAAACAAAACAAAAACAAAGCAACAACAACAACAACAATGCTGAACAAACCAGCATCCCAACATTGACAATCATGTCAGTCTGCCTGACAAAACTGATTGTGAGAATTTCTTCTATACTCAAGATACATCTACCAAGTTAATATCTAATCATTGTTACTGTGTATAGAGCTTGTGTGTTTTTAAATTTAAATTTATTATTTGAATACATTACATATTTACATAGTTAAAAATTTAAAAACTACGAAAGGGTATAAACAGAAAAGTTTCCTACCCATCCTTGCTCCTCTAGCCATGTAATTTTCCTCTACGGAAGTAACCAATATTATCAAAGTCCTTCTAGAGAATCTTTGCATATACTTAAGCAAGTCCATATTGATCCAATTACCTTTTGACCTTTAGTTTCATGGTTATTAAAGTGAGACACATACAAAATAGCAAATAATTCTTTCTTTGCTCTTGTGCACATTTCATCCACATCTGTTCCCAGTGACATTCACCAAAGACCGTTAACTGATACAGAGATGTGTGCAAAATTGCTTAGCAGATTAGGGCTCAGATTTGCACTCATAGAGTAGAATGAGAAACCCTGGTGCCTGGATGTATGTTTACCCAAATTCTCCCTCCAAGTGTGTATGAGGTTTTGTTCCTAATGTTACAGTGGAAAATGTACAAAATTTGAGAGAACATTTAATGGGAGGTAGGGAGTGGAGAAAGAGAGGGAGTGCACAAACGTGGTTATTTTTAGGGCTAATTTTATTTTTAACTCTTAATTTTGAAAAATTTTGGGCTGGGCACGGTGGCTCATGCCTGTAATCCCAGCACTTTGGGAGGCCGAGGTAGGTGGATCACTTGAGGTCAGGAGTTTGCGACCAGCCTGGCCAACAAGGTGAAATGCATTTTTGTATTGTAAAAATACAAAAATGAGTCAGGCCTGGTGGCGGGCGCCTGTAATCCTAGCTACTCAGGAGGCTGAGGCAGGAGAATCGCCTGAGCCGGAGTGAGCTGAGATCACATCATTGCACTCTGCACTCCATCCTGGGCAACAAGAGCAGAACTCTGTCTCAAAAAAAAAAAAAAAAAAAAAAAGAAAGAAAGAAAGAAAAGAAAAATTTCAAAACTGAACAAACGTTGAAAGAATGCTACATTGATACTCATAGACTCTTAGCAACATGGGGTTTCTCAACCTCTGCACTGTTTACCTTTGGGGCTGGATAATTCTTTCTTTGTGTTGGGGGCTGTCCAGTGCATTGAAGTAGCATCCCTGGCACCCACTAGGTGTGAGTAGCACTCTGTCCACCCAATTGTAACAACCACACATGTCCCCAAACGTCGGTATAGCAAGCACCCTACAGAATAAAGCAATTTTTCTCTTAAAACAAAACAAAGCAACGACAACAAAACCAAACAAGGGACGGGGAGGAGCAACATCAGTTTGCAGGCTGAGAATTACTGACCTAGATTAGGGATTAACATTTTACCCCATTTTTTTTCTGTCATATTTATTTGTTTGTTTTGGCTGAGCGTTTAAAAGAAAGCTGCAGGGGTATCCCTAAATACCATAACATATATCTTATAGGAACAGCTGGGAGTGGTGGTTCATGCCTGTAATCTCAGTGCTTCGGGAGGCCAAGGTGGACACATCATTTGAGCCTAGGAGTTCAAGACCAACCTGGGTAACATGGTAAAATCCATCTCTACAAAAAATATATATATATATATATATATATATATATATATATATATATATATAATATATATATATTAGCCAGGTATGGTGGCAAGAGCCTGTAGTCCCACTACTTGGGAGGTGGAGTTGTGGGGGGAGTTCACTAGAGCCCAGGAGGTTGAGGCAGCAGTGACTTATGATTGCACTCCAGCACTCCAGCCTGGGTGACAGAGCAAATCCCTGTCTCAAAAATAAAATAAAATAAAATAAAAATAAGGACAATCTCTTATATAACCACAATACCATTTTTATACCCAAGAAAATTAGCAATCATTGCATAATATCATATACAATCCATATTCACATTTCTTCAGTTTTTCAAAACTGTTTTAAAAATAGTTTTTTGCTATAATATCTGAGTTATGCATTGCATTGGTTAGTATGTCTCTTTAATTTCTTTTTGTCTAGACAGTCTCTCCATACCCTTTTTTATTTTTTTGGATGTTTGCTTTTTGGACAAGTCTAGTCCAGTTGCCATGTAAGACGGTCCACATTCTGCATTTTTTTTTTTTTTTTTTTTTTGAGACGGAGTTTCGCTCTTGTTACCCAGGCTGGAGTGCAATGGCGCGATCTCGGCTCACCGCAACCTCCACCTCCTGGGTTCAGGCAATTCTCCTGCCTCAGCCTCCTGAGTAGCTGGGATTACAGGCACACGCCACCATGCCCAGCTAATTTTTTTTTGTACTTTTAGTAGAGACGGGGTTTCACCATGTTGACCAGGATGGTCTCGATCTCTTGACCTCGTGATCCACCCGCCTCGGCCTCCCAAAGTGCTGGGATTACAGGCTTGAGCCACCGCGCCCGGCCTCACATTCTGCATTTGAATGTGCAAAGATGTGCTGGTGATGCTGTGGACTTCATGTGTCACAAAAGGAGGTCTGCAATTTCAGGGCCATTTTTTATTTGAGTGGTTGGCGGAGAGCTGTATTCATGTAGATCTTTCTACACTCTTTCTAGCTGGAAACATATGAAGGAGAGGGATGATTATTCTATAACACGAATATTTCCTACTGAGTCTGCCTGCCTAAGGTATCTGTGTAAGTAACTCACCCTGCCAGGTGTATAGCAGATTCTCAGTAAATACTCACTGATTGAATACTCATGCAGAAGATTGTATTTGATTTGTCCTTTTTCTGCTCCTATCAAACAGTTAATAAGGAAAGACAGGAGAAAGTAGAAAGAAGAAATTGGCAATTTAAAAATGTCCTAGCCATTGATCGCTATAATACCTCCCACCAGGTTCAGCACGTTTAGAAACCCTTCAGAGCTGTAGGAAACATGCAGAAAACAAAGTGTACTTGTTCATATTTCATGCCTAAAAAAATACAAGCCGTTTTATTTTTCAGTTCTGTGGTTAAACAGCAATGGCAAAGTCCACCCTCACAAGCCTTTGGGAGATGATAAGGCTTCTCTGACTCATGCATAACCAGGAGCTTAATCAGTGCGGAAGCCATCCTCCAACCCTCAACCACACATTTCTCAGGGCTGCTGAAGGACTTTACAAGCAACACTTTAGTTGGCAAATATCTTCAATGAGTAGCTACTCACTTGAGTCTCCCAAAAAGCCAGTGCAATTGATAGGACGGATCTTATTGTTCCATTTTATAGTTGAAGAAACTAAAACTCAGAGGGGTTACTTGGCTAATATGTATTCAGGCGAGTACTCGGACCTGGGGTCTTCCCAACTTAGGCCACGGTACTTTCAGGGATTACTCTTATTGGAACTTATAAACCATGTAACCAAGAATGGCAAAATCGAAGTGCCAAGCATTTGGCTGATGTTATTTCGGTGGCATTCCCATTGGACCATGAGGAAACAGAGCTTAGAAAACACGGCCAAAGGCCACTCGGTGACTTACCACTCTCTCTTATGGCTGGGGTTCAGAGGGAAACACAGGTTCATATGTCTGCAAGGTTTTTTTTTTTTTTTTTTTTTTTTTTCCGTTCCTGAACTCACTGTGGGGATCTATTCAAGCACATGGCATTGCAGGGGAGATGAGCAGCAGAAGCAGCTCTAAGGTAACTGCTTCAAGAAGGGTGGGGCCCCCACTCACACAGTGAGTTAGTTACCAACTAAGCACTGCCAGGACTCAGAGTGTTGCTTCTGGTCTGTCATGTTGACACCTGCATCTCCTGCTTCACAGAGGATTGACGCAAGGCATCAAACATTGATTGTTTCCAGCATGCATGAAGCACTGTGCTGGGCTTGGTGGGCAAAGCAGGCATGAGCCTTTCTTTATGTGCTTATAGCATAGAGGCAAGAAGGAAAGGAAGGAAAGAAGGAAGGAAGAAGGAAGGAAGGAGGGAAGGAGGAAGGGAGAGAGGGATGAAGGGAGGGAATGAGGAGAGAAAGGAAAAGAAAAGAAAAAGAAATAGAAGCAAAGTTTCACATAGTTGAGGTAAGATTGCCACTTTGATAAGTGCCAATGAAGAAAGGGGAGACCCAAAACCAAGCTGTTACAGAGGCCAGAGGAAGCTTCTATGAAGCACAGGCTGAGCTGAGACCTGAAGGCAAAGCAAGAGTTAACCAGATACCAGTTTGGTGAGGAAAGTGAGGGGTAAAACTTTCCAGGCCCAAACCAAAGGCCTGGCAGTGGAAGAGATGTTGGCATACTAAGGAAGAAATCCAGGGCTGCTTCCTAGGTATTGTCCATGTCTCTGGTCTCACAAAATCTCCATATGTCAGACAGATCCTTCCAGAGCTCAGATCTGACCATTCACTCTCCCACCTCAACATGGCCTAGGAAGACCTCCTCACCTGGCTGTTCTGACAAATTCTCTCCAGAGCTTTTAAAAATACAGACATCTGGGTTCCATTCCAATCTCCTGAACCAGGATCTGTGGAGTCTGGAGCAGTAGCAAGCAGCAGCATTGCATGGGAACTTGCAAGAATGCGCATTCTCAGCCTACCCCTGCCCTCAAAATCAGAGACTCTGAGAGTGGGGCTCAGCAAACTGTGCTCTAACAAGTCATCCAGGAATTGATTCAGCTCAGGTTTTAGAACCATTGCTTTAGAGGAAAGACCAAGGCCAAAATTTCCTATGAGATTCTAATACGCCTTTCCACAGAGACAGATTTAAGATCTGGTTCAGGATTACACTGAGGCTCCTTAATGGGATGACCACAGTTCTTGGTGATTGGGTCGCCTCCTCTTTCCCACCTTATTTTTTTTACCCCATCCTCTGTCAGTCCCTCATCTTGAGCTCTGTACTTCAGCCACACACAACTCTTGGTAATTCTCTAGAGGGCACCAGCTCTCCCTCTATTCCATTGCACATGCAGCTTCATCCTCCTGGAACTTCTGCACATCTACCCAACTGGCATTCCCCAATGCTATCGCCATCTCTTCATGTAGTTACCTGACCCTCAGACCTGGGCCTCAGTTTACATTCACTTCCTGCAGGAAGGCTTTTATGATCTCCTAACACAATGTAAATGAATGATGTCTCTTCCCCTATTATAGTACTTTTCACTCTATATTGAAATTATTCATCCTTCTGCTAGACTGAAAGTGAGGTCCACCTATACCCTTCTCCCTCCCACAACTGGGACTTGGTCTTTGTGTTTGAAACAGTAGAGGCACCATAGACTTAGGGAGTGAATGCCAATAGTACTCACCAAAACGAATTTCAAAAGATGACAGAAAATTATTTTTAAATAAAATGCATCAATCCATATGCCAGTATCAGGTCTTTTCTAGAACCCACTAGAAAAATGGAATTGGTTGTGGAGACAGTAGAATATAGTGGAAAGTATCACTTTTAGGAATTGGAAAGTCTAGGTTCAAGAACCAATATATTTATTCAGTAACCATATGGCATTGGGTAAAGATTTCTATTTCTGTGACTTTGTCTTCTTACCTATAACTTAGAGTTTATAATTTCTATAGCAGTGTCACAAGACTGCTGTAAGAATAAAAAAAGGGTAGATATATTATTTCTATGACCATGGTGTGAAAAAAATTTTAAGCCCAAAGATGATAGGTGAATAAATATTTTATTGTTTATATAGGATTATCTCAATCTCCTTGGAGACTAACTGACCTGATTTGTTATTTTTACGCAGTTTTTATGGAAACGAGCCCTCAAAGATCGCTTTAAATATGTTCGAAGACCCATAGAAGATGATGAACAAGTGATTAGAAATAAGTGTAAATTTGGACACCGAAGAGGCCAGACAAGGAAATCTATTGCTGATATGAGATTTGATGGAATTAAACTCGTCCGGATCAAAGTAAGATTGAATTCTTAAATATTCTGATGACTTGATTGATTGATATATTGATTAAGGGCTAATAAATAATAGCATTTGAAATAATTAAAACAGAATGAGATACCTGATTAAAATCTGAAGTATAGTCAAGAACCAAGAAAGTCTTTTTTGCACTGGCTAACACTGAGCATGATATTTCCAAGAAAAGAATTCCAAAAGCAATTACTGAACATCTCGTGTTCAATTTTGTTTCACAACCTTCAAAAACTTGAAAAGTACGTTCAGAGTCCTTGAATAAGTTTTTTTGCTCTCATCCTAAAATGCATCTTATGTTCTTGATGCTCTTATTGCTACAGGAAGTTTTTTAATATTCATACTGTGTAGGTTAGATCGCCTCCGGTATCCAGGTTTCAGGGAAGAAATAACTCATATGCCTGGATACAAAACTCCATCCTGGCCTTCCCTTCCCTGCGGGTCCTGAAGCCTTTCCACCCCAACCCAGAAGTGGCTGTCGAGAACTCCAGGCTGAGGGCACCGGGAGGGCCTGGAGATTCTTCCTTCACCAGCTGGGAGGTCATGTGAATTCCACTTGTCTGAGATCCTGTGCATACTCCTTTTCTACCTCAGAGCACCGAAATATCCTCAGAAACAAAAATCTTCCCTGCTAGCAAAGTAGATTGAATTCTTTAAGCAGGATGTCTGAACTACCAAGTATGAAAGTGAAATCTCTTGTCCTCCCAATTCTGTTTCTCTTAATCCAATGTGAATATGTAAATCCTAACTCTTCACCACAAACACGTTTATATTACTGAATGTACTTGGTGTAAATATTCTATTTTCTTTTTCATCTGATAGTAAAAGGGCAAAGTATTGAGTCACCTCAGTTTTATTAGTGCTTGTTATAAGATCCATAGGATAAGATTATTTTGTAAACTACTCATCCCAGCATTATGCATAATGCAAAACTTGGATGAAAGTATGTACTTTAAATATCTTATTCTAATTTTCAATGAGGCTTTCAAAATGATAGGTCAGTTAAGATAACACAATTCTATAACTGTCCTTTGACAAAAAGACAAGGCAAATGAAAGGTGCCCTAAATTTAGTGTTGTAACTTTTTAGAAACTTTGCAAAATTTCAATTACAAACTGAAATTATGATAAGATAGAATCATATTTATTTTGAAATTTTTTATGTTCTTAAAAATCACTTTGTGGGAGGGGTCAAGATGGCTGAATAGGAATAGCTCTGGTCCGAAGCTCCCAGCAAGAGCAATGCAGAAGGAGGGTGATTTCTGCATTTCCAACTGAGGTACCCAGTTCATGTCATCGGCACTGATTAGGCAGTGGGTCCAACCCATGGAGGACGAGCAGAAGCAGGGTGGGGCAGAAGCAGGGAGCCAGGGACCTCCCTCCCTGAATCAAGAGAATCCATGACTGTGCTACATGGCCAGGTTATGATGCTTTTCCCACAGTTTTTGCAATCTGCAGATCAGGAGATTCCCTCATGTGCCTATATATACCACCAGAGCCCTGGGTTTCAAGCACAAAACTGGGCAACTGTTTGGGCAGACACTTAGCTAACTGCAGGATTATTTTTTACATACCTTAGTAGTGTTTGAAACCCCAGCAAGACAGAACCGTTCTCTCCTCTGGAAAGGGGGCTGAAGCCAGGGAGCCAAGTGGTCTCACTCAGCGGGTTCCCACTCCCACGGAGCCCAGCCAGCTAAGAACCACTGGCTTGAAATTCTCTCTGCCAGTATAGCAGTCTGAAGTCAACCTAAGTTGATAGAGCTTGGTGGGGGTAGTGCCATCTGCCATTAATGAGGCTTTAGTAGGCAGTATCCCCTGAGAGTGCGAAGGGGTCTGGGAGGTCTGGGCTGGGCAAGACCAAGTGGTCGTGGCCAGACTGCTTCTCTAAATTTCCTCCTCACTGACCAGGGCATCACTGAAGGAAAGGTAACAGCCATAGTCAGGGGCTTACAGACAAAACCCCCATCTCTATGGGCAGAGCACCGGGGGGAAGGGGTGGCTGTGGGCACAGCTTCAGTGGATTTAATCCTTCCTGTCTGCCAGCTCTGAAGAGAGCAGCTGATCCTGACAAAAGAGATTCTCCCAGCACAGCACTCGAACTCTGCTAAGGGACAACTGCCTTTTGAAGAGGGTCACTGACCCCCGTGCCTCCTGACTGGGAGAAACCTCCTAACAGGGGTTGACAGACACCTCATGCAGGAGAGCTCTGGCTGGCATCTGGCAGGGGCCCCTCTGGGACAAAGCTTTCAGAAGAAAGAGCAGGCAGCAATCTTTGCTGTTCTGCAGCCTCCACTGGTGATACTCAGGTGAACAGGATCTGCAGTGGACCTCCAGCAAAGAGCAGCAGACTTGCAGAAGAGGGACCTAACTGGTAGAAGAAAAACTAACAAACAGAAAACAACAGCATCAACGTCAACATAAAGGACCCTCCCAACAAAAACCCCATCCAAAGGTTATCAGCCTCAAAGATCAAAGGTAGATAAATCCATGAAGATGAGGAAAAATCAGTGCAAAAATGCTGAGAATTCCAAAAACCAGAATGCCTTCTCTCCTCCAAATGATTGCAACTCCTCTCCAGCAAGGGCACAAAACTGGACGCAGAATAAGATTGACGAATTGACAAAGTAGGCTTCAGAGGTGGATAATAACAAACTCTTCTGAGCTAAACAAGCATTTCTAACCCAATGCGAGGAAGCTAAGAACATTGATAAAAGGTTACAGAAACTGCTAAGTAGAATAACCAATTTAGACAGGAACATAAATGACCTGATGGAGCTGAAAAACACAGCACAAGAACTTTGTCAAGCATATGTCAAGTAACAATAGCAAAATTGATCAAGCAGGAGAAAGGACATCAGACATTGAAGATCAACTTACTGAAATAAGGCATGAAGAAAAGATTAGAGAAAAAAGAATGAAAATGAATGAACAAAGTCTCTAAGAAATATGGGACTATGTTAAAAGACCAAACATATGATTGGTGTACCTGAAAGTGATAGAAAGAATGGAACCAAGTGGGACACATACTTCAGGATATTATCCAGGAGAACTTCCCTAACCTAGCAAGACAGGACAGCATGCAAATTCAGGAAATACAGGACACACCACTAAAATACTTCTTGAGAAGAGCAACGGCAAGACACATAATCATCAGATTTTTGAAGGTTGAAACAAACAAAAAAATGTTAAGGGCAGCCAGAGAGAAATGTCAGGTTATCCACAAAGGGAAGCCCATCAGAGTAACAGCAGATCTCTCTGCAGAAACCCTACAAGCCATAAGAGAGTTGGGGACAATATTCAACATTCTTAAAGAAAAGAATTTTCAACCCCAAATTTCTTATCCAGCCAAACTAAGCTTCATAAGTGGAGGAGAAATAAACAGACAAGCAAATGCTGAGAGATTTTGTCACCACCAGGCCTGCCTTACAAGAGTTCCTGAAAGAAGCACTAAATATGGAAAGGAAAAACAGGTATCAGCCACTGCAGAAACACATGAAAATATAAAGACCATTGACACTATGAAGAAACTGCATCAAGTAATGGACAAAATAACCAGCTAGCATCATGATGACAGGATCAAATTCACACATAACAATATTAACCTTAAATGTAAACAGGCTAAATGCCCCAATTAAAAGACACAGACTGGCAAATTGGATAAAGAGTCAAGATCAATTGGTGTGCTGTTTTCAGGAGATGCATCTCATGTGCAAAGACACACATAGGCTCAAAATAAAGAGATGGAAAGATATTTACCAAGAAAATGGAAAGCAAAAATAAATAAAAATTAAAATTAAAAAAAGCAAGGATTGCAATCCTAGTCTCTGATAAAACAAACTTTAAACCAACAAAGATTGAAAAAGACAACAAAGGGCAGTACGTAATGGTAAAGGGATCAATGCAACAAGAAGAGATACTATCCTATAGATGCACCCAATAAAAGAGCACCCAGATTCATAAAACAAGTTCTTTGAGACCTACAAAGAGACTTAGACTCTCGCAAAATAATAGTGGGAGACTTTAACACCCCACTGTCGATATTAGACAATCAATAAGACAGAAAATTTACAAGGACATCTAGCACTTGAACTCAGCTCTAGACCAAGCAGATCTAATGCACATCTACAGAACTCTCCACCCCACATTAACAGAATACACATTCTTCTCAGCACCACATTGCACTTATTCTAAAATTGACCACATAATTGGAAGTAAAGCACCCCTCAGCAAATGCAAAAGAACAGAAATCATAACAGTCTCTCAGACCATGGTGCAATCAAATTAGAACTCAGCATTAAGAAACTCACTCAAAACTGCACAACTACATGGAAATTGAACAACCTGCTCTGGAATGACCACTGAGTAAATAACGAAATTAAGGCAGAAATAAAGAAGTTCTTTGAAACCAATGAGAACAAAGAGACAAAGTACCAGAATCGCTACGACACAGCTAAAGCAGTGTCTAGAGGGAAAGTTACAGTGCTAAATGCCCAAATCAGAAAGCTGGAAAGATCTAAAATTGACACTCTACTATCGCAAGTTAAAGAACTAGAGAAGCAGGCCGGGCGCGGTGGCTCAAGCCTGTAATCCCAGCACTTTGGGAGGCCGAGGCGGGTGGATCACGAGGTCAAGAGATCGAGACCATCCCGGTCAACATAGTGAAACCCCGTCTCTACTAAAAATACAAAAAAATTAGCTGGGCATGGTGGCACGTGCCTGTAATCCCAGCTACTCAGGAGGCTGAGGCAGGAGAATTGCCTGAACCCAGGAGGCGGAGGTTGCGGTGAGCCGAGATCGTGCCATTGCACTCCAACCTGGGTAACAAGAGCGAAACTCTGTCTCAAAAAAAAAAAAAAAAAAAAAAAAAAGAACTAGAGAAGCAAGTGCAAACAAATTCAAAAGCTAGCAGAGGATGAGAAGTAACTAAGATCAGAACACAACCAAAGGGGATAGAGACACAAAAAACCCTTCAAAAAATCAATAAATTCA